TTCGGTATTTGCTGATTGTGTTGTCCTTTTCTGTCAGGTGATGTTTCGCTTTGCTCTCGCGGTTTTCAAGAGCAGCGAAGAGCTACTTTTAAAGTGTGAGGATCACATGAGCATATTCAACTTCCTGAGACAAGTGCCTGAAAAAATCACCGATGCTAACATCTTATCTCAGGTTAGCGATAGCTCTTGCGCTATGTAGCATGTTTTAAAGCAAGCAGTCGAAGAAAATAATCCTCTAGAGATGCGTGAAGTCAAACAAGTCATCATACTTGCAGAGGCAAAGTTTGTGATAGTTCCTACGCTGTATAGCATGTTTTAAAGCAAGCAATCGTGATAGATGATCCTCCAGATATACGTGAAGTCGAACTCGCGATCACACTTGCAGAGGCAAAGTTTGTGCTCAAGACAAGTGGCCAAAGCTTATCCTAGGTTCTATGGGTTCACATGAAGCGGCTAGGATTGGGTGCTAGTCTATTGCAAGGTTATCAGCAAATAAATCAGTTAGGTTAGCCGATTTATAGGACATGAATTAAAAAAAATTGCTTTTTGTTAAGGCATTTACATTTGATATATTATCCGCATTAAGGTCGGAAGATCTGGGCACCAATTTTTCAAGACAGTAGGAACCTTGCCGCGTTGCAAAGGATTACCTGGATTATAGACTCGTCCATTGCAAATGGGAAACCATCACAGAGAAATATAAATGTCTTTTCTTTCTTTTTTTCTTTTAGATTGCCTTCCAATTTCTGAATCCTTTCCCGATGCAGAAGATTAGAACAAAGCGAGCCTATCACTTGGAAGTCGTTAAGGTATGGTCATAACTCTTCCCACAACTTAACGTCAACTCGCATTTCTTGTGTTATAAACGAACACTTTCCTTACCTTGTCGGAAATCTTCGAAAGAGTTTGGAAATCTTTGAACAGGGCAGTCCCGAAATTCATGTTGTTATTCTGTATCTCGTACGTTTTCGGTGACAAATTTACAGTAATTAAGAGTATGTAAAGGAAAATGGTTGATTCATCGCCTGGCAGTCATCGCAAGAATGAAAATTTCCTTCTTTTTTAATCTTACAGCGTGAGCTTGCCGAGTTAGACAAATTACGCGAGGACTACGTTACAAGCAAGGCAGACGAGCCTGAATCTCGGGATGGAGACATGTTAGGTGAAGACTGAGAGCACTGGGAACCAGTTAATCCACAAGAGGGAAAGTGAAGGGAAGTCTAAAGACAGAGCCATTTGTTTGGTGTGCCTGTGGGTTTTATGAGTAATTTGCTTCTGTCTGAAGCGTCTTTATGTTTAGTTTAGCTTACGATTCAACCAGTGAATAATCGGTAAAGCCCTTGATAGAATGAGGGCTTGAAACCCAATTGTGTTAGAAACATTTTACATGGGTATTTTACTACAAATGTTTTAGTCATAAACGGGTGATTTTTACAATTTTTTCTTTGCCAAATATATGGTTTTTCCAATCTGCTTCAAGGTTACTGAGCAGTAAATTGTGAATTACTCTTCCGTTCAGATTTCAACGTTTCATTCGTGACTCATTCGTTTTACTTCTTCGTCAATGGCCCCTTCGGTGTGTCTTCAAACCCTATCAGTGCTTCACTTCCTGCCGCCTAACTAAGGGAAGTTGGTGCATGTTATGGAACACTGGGCTGGAGATATGTAAAATATATATATATGCCAAACATACTTTATGCAGAATTATTTTGTATTGAAATAGGATAAGCTTTATACAACAAATTTTATTCATATGATATCCGTTGTTCAGACAAAAATTACCCTCACGCAGGTATTTTTGTTTGGTTTAGGATCATAAAGGTTTTTCAGATGAAGATAACCATAATTTTTCAATGAAAAAAAGTTCTATTTTCTCTCTTTGCTCTTAAAAAAAAATGGAAATTTGATGTCAAGTAACATATTCTCAGAAACAAACTTAGGTACAGAGTGTTGCGGCAATTAGCTAGAGCTTGAATATCATTTTTTCCCTGAATTCTTTCTCGTTCCCTTTCATTTTTCTCGCGATAAAGACGTTGAAAACCGCTTTGTTGCATGTGGGTTTTTTTGTGTATTATCCTTCATTCACAGCTTTCAGAAATTATGGCGAACAACTTACAGTATCAACATTTTAGTTAATACATTTCTTAGAAGTGTTCCCAAACGACTTTGATGAGGTGAATTTATGGACTGATTCTCCGAGAATGGCTCTGAAAAATTAATTTTGAAGCCACGCAGACTGAGAGTATGCTCACTAAGAAACGCTATGTCCTGAATTAATTTCATGAGTTTACTGTATGAGTTAGATATTTGTAGATTTATATCTGAAAGAGCTGACACTTATCTGTTACATATTCAGTACGTTTCCTCAAATTCTGTAAAACAACCGTTTATATAAAGCAATAAGAGAAATATCTTATTTACTTCAAATACCTATCCTCTTCAGTATTAATCGAACATACATGCAAACGATGATAATAAAAGTGAAGAGGAAAAAGAAGGAAATGCAATTCTTAAATTCCTTGTTTTCCTTCACACTTGATTGATCCGTAGTTTCAACCCATACATTCATTCTAAATTGGTTACGTGAGTACAATATCGTTTGGTTGCGATAAAGTTTTGCTTTTACTAATTTTCTTTGAATAAATTTAAACCTAAAGCATGTTGTGAGTGTTCTTTTTTCTTTTCTTTCTTCACTTTTTTTTTAAGAGCATACCATAGTTTTCGTTTCTGACCCGTTCAGTCCAAAGCTGGACTCCCGCTGAGAAAAAATAGACTCGTATCTAAACACGGAGTTCTCATTACTAGAAGACAAAGTGAAAGCTTAGGCAAAACAGATTCAAACTAACGCAAAACAAACTGGAATGAAATTTTCACAAAGAATCCAGCCAAACCAAGAAGTAAACAGCGAAATAGAGGGAAAAAAGGTTCGATAGACAAAGTTGTCTCCTTTAGTTGGGAAATTTTTCAAAAAAAGCACGAGCTAAACCTGGGCAGCAGGCGCACGGCAACAAGAAACGTGTAACTCATGATTTTTTTGTATTACATGATCTACCGTAAAGTACTCGGTGAAATCGATTCCGTCATTGAAAATTAAGCAGGGACATTTGTAATCGCTGGAAGTCCAGATAAGAGATCTAATACGAGTATGTCAAATTTTCGCTGCGGTTTTTTGCGTGTGCGATCGTCCAGATAAAAAAATCTGAAGGACAAGGGTTCGTGGCAAAAAATTTAGACAAGAAATTTAACGTTTAATGAGCCATTCGACGGCATTAAAATTTCACAGTGATTGGTGGACACACAACTGTCTTCACTGCACACAAGGGCTTTGTTTTTAATGAAACCAACCATGAAAGTGCAACGAAAGATTCCAACATCATACAAACCTGGATATATTTCGGAGCCTTTCATCATTGAACAGTTTGATTGAATTTCACACCGGAGTACAGGACTGTTGGAACATTGACTGGTGGCGGTAGAGAGTACAAACGCACATGCATTTGTGCTATTAATGCACCAGTGGAAAAAATTATTGGTGGAAAGTTAGTGTTAAACAATAAAAAATTAGTTAAGTTGAAGTTGTATTGATCATTGGTTGCAGTCTATTGAGTTTACCGCGAAAACGGAAAATTTATTGATCCATAACATTTGGATGTTTTTTTTTTTCCAGTTGATATGCATTGTTAGCAACGTTTCCCATCTTTATTTCCATCAATTTAACTCGTGATTTAAAATCCTGCTGTAGCTGTGAGAAATATTTTTTTATTTAGATCTGGAATCATGTAGTTCAGATAGGTGAACGATGAAGGATTCTTCAACTGTGCTCTACGCTCTCACATCAGTGTTGTTATCAGTTCTTGTACAAACGAGTCCTTCTGTCGGCGGGAACCATAGGGAATCCGTAAACCGAGATATTGCGAAGCCAGTCGAAGGAAATCGCCGACAAACGTCAGATTCCTCTAAGGGTGTCTCTTGCAACTGTAGGAATTACTGCCCAGATCCTAACAGCTCCGAACTTGAAGTAAGAGATGTAATTAGTCGTACATGTTTCGCCATTGAGGAAAACTAATGGGCGTTTTTTCGTTTCTTTTCAATCAAATTGCCTTGCCCAACTCAATAGGGGTTCTTCGTGAAATGAGGAAATGTTGTTAGTGGTTCTTAAATATTCCCTTTTAATCAGAGAACCTTGATTCAAAATGACGTAAAATTTCGCCTCTTTACCTGCTGCATCTGTCGCTCATTGGAGGTTTAGCAAGAGACAAGAGCAAGTTAAAAGTTTGGAAGTCACGGGCATTCGTCCAGTTCACATCACCTTAATGTGCCTCAATACTCCACGTTTTTAAAATTCGAATTATTTCTACTCAGGACTTGTAGACTCGCGAACGCCGAATCTGAACATACCCTGATGCTTCAATAACAACACCTTAAAGTTATGGAATTAAAAAGTCAGCTAACTGAGTGAATTTTGATCTCGAAATCGCTTTCAACTTTGTATTGTTTACGTTTATTCGGAAGTTAGTCGTTTTGTTTAATCCTTCCAGGGAATAGAGGGAGACAAATATAGGTGCGGATACATGGAGGCTTGCAGATTTATTTATTAGGAATCGTTTTATTGTCTGCTCTTGATATTTAGGCCTAGCATTTCATAGCGGTGCGTCCGCAGATGGCGCTAGTCACGCCCAAATTGAGAAAGTCAGATAGAACTCTTACTGTTTATAATGTTTCTATGGCAAGAATTACAAAACATTCTTTTGGCTCTATAGTTTGACTGCGAAGAACTCGAAAAATGTCTACTGGACCTGGGTCAAAACCCAAGTAATTCTTGATAAGTATGTGTTTTTTGTTGCTAATCAATTGGCATTGTCATCTTTCTCTTTCAGTTAGTTTATTGGATTGAAAACCACCCAGTGTCCTGCAAAGAATCTGCGAGAATCGATATTGAAAACAAGGCTTACCTAGCACGCTGTTTCTTTGATTGCTGTCGCATTTGCAACGCAACCTACTTCAAATGTGTGCTTACTAATACCAGAGAGTCATGTTTAGAAGCAGCTTACAAATGTGCCGGCGTTTGCGTTACAGATAGCCTATTAAACATCAATATTAAAGGATGGTGACCTTAAAAACACCTTTCTGAGGGCTTACATCAAATGGTCGAATCTCTAGTAAGATCTGAGAACTTGAAATTGGAACTTGTGCGATCACAGTCGCCGAAGGAGTTCATATGTAAGCTCTGAAACATCTGTTGGTGTATACGTCCAATTTTATCCCAATTTCAATGTCAATTTCATTATAATTTTTTTAATGCCAATGGACAATAATAAGAAATATTAAAAGCAGATTTATAATAAAATGAATCATTTGACTGTGTCTTGTAACTGCAACAAACGATAATTTCAAGGTAATTGTAATGTGCAAGCTTAAACATTCTGGTTTTTTTTTACACCTAGAGCGCTCAAAGAAAATATATTTAGACTCGTAATATTTTGTCACAGTAGAATCTTTCCCATACAGTTGCTGAATTATTTTATTTAAGTGTTATAACCACACTTGAGAAAGATTTACCTGGTCATTTTAAGATAACACATCTTAAGATTCAAAGTACATTTTGTAATGAATGCGTGCGGTTTGTTTATTTGATAAAACTTCAAAATCAGCGAGCGAGTAAAGAAAGCTAAAGAAAAACAAAAAAAAAATAAGAACCGTGGTGTTGCGTCGTGGAGAGATTACAATATGATATTGTTTTATCAACTGAGTCAATACGTAAATTGGCCATCGTAAAGAGTTTTTACAGCTGCCGTTTCGAGCGTTAGCCCTCCCTCAGAGCAAAATTCGTTATAGATGAGTAACAATTAGCTTAAGCTCCTAAATAGCATATTCTCTGACTTAATAAAATTGCAAAAATAGTGCACAGTTTTTATCTGAGAAAATTGTGAATTCGTGCGACTCTCGCTCGGGCCGATAAGGTTGTTATAGCTTTCTGATAACAAATCAGTCATGGCTCGGTGGTTCCGTTACGTTTATCCAACCCCCTCAGTTACTTGATTCTATTATGGTATAAATTCTCATTACTAACTTCCCTAACGTTCTTTCAATGTAAATTTGATGGTTTATCGTGAAAACTCCGGATGTGGTTCACCCTGGTGTTTGACATTCGGTCAAATGAAATGAAATGTTTAAGTATTGAACACATTAGCCACATTGTGAAAAGAACAAAGGCATTCTCTCTGTATTTGCATAAATATGTCCGTTAATAGGGCATTGTTTTAAGGGGTGTTATTCCTGAACAAAGTGGTGTGAAATGATCGCATCTGTAAGAGATCGTGGTCTTTGACCAGCGTTAAGTTCTTCTAAGTAGCCCAAGAATGAAACACTTGTTATCAGTAAATACCGAAGAGATGTGATGAAGGGAGCTCTATAATCCATTCTAAGAGATGAATATTTTCCTCTTCAAGGAATATTCCTGAGCAAAGCATATATGTGTCTTTTCATCACTAGTTTGAAAGAGATTTACTTTTTTGGTTGAAAGCTTGTCCATAAAATTTTCTATAAAAGATATAAAAAAGAGCGAGCTCGATTTTTACCCACGCCTCCCTTGTTACGATTTTTTTTTGTAATCTTCACATTTTGCCGTTCTGAAGAAACTTTTCTTTTGGTCTCTCCTTTAGTTCGTGAGATAGAAAAAAAGGTGTCAAGGTCTAACGAACAAACATTATCAAGTTCAAAGTATGTTTATTTATGGTACACGTGACTGTAAAGCTGATAACTGATAACCTCAACTATCAACTGTGGGAAACACAAAAACGTTTTGGGCGAAAGAGTCAGCCAACAGCATTTCGGCAGCTAATAGAAGAAAAGCTCTTCTCGTCTCGCTCTATTTCGTCTCACCAGGACCGACCTGTGGGGGAGCTTCACTTGCAGATTCGGCTGGGAGAGCTACAGGCCTCTGGAAAGGCAACTCGTCAAACGATCTCTCGTCGATGCATTGGCACATGCATGTGTAGGCGCCTCGCATACATCTACCATAAACAGTTCCCCTTGCTAGGCATCTATAGAATACGTTATTGCAGTCACGGCAGCAATCAAATGTCTGCTTGCAAACGTACTTCTTTTGCTCTTCTTCGCCTGGTGGTAGCAAAATGGCTGAAGCGTCACGGCACAAAACAGGGAAATTCTCGTAGCTGAGGTACTTGGTTTCGTCCTGTTGAAGGAAAAGAATACAGCAAATAAAAATCACTGAGAATAATGAAATTTGAAGGCAAATTCTGAGACGATGTCAACACATGTGCTGAGAATTTTTGTCAAAACTACACGATGTACCTATGAAATTCTCATGACCTTTTTGTTTGTTATTGCTTTACAATCATGAGAAAAATTTACGACTGATTGATCACATTTCGCTGTTAGCGGTTAAGCTTGATGCAGAAAAAGTTTTTAACTACACAAAATCATCTTTTTGATGAAGCGGAAAATTATCCGACAGAAGGAAAAAAAATATTTATGGAGACTTTCTTGAAAGTTTTTTTTTTGTTCTGTAGTTTGGCTGACCTAAATTATTTACCAGTGATGGACAAGAATCAGTCGAGGAAATTTTGAAGGGATTTGGAGTATTTGCTCCTCACGTAACATATTAGCTCGCAAGTTCTTAGCTCTCCTGTACCTGTAAATACGGAGGAAGTCTTTCTTCGTTCAGGTCGTTACAAACTCCATTGCAATCGCAGTTACGGTCGTGAGGTTTTGGGTTTGGGGTAGCAATTTCTGTTGGTGCTATTACTGACGGGGCATCAGGTAGACCTGATGGAGGTTCCTCTGTTGGATCCTGAAGTTGGAAAGAACGAAATCCTTGAGAGGCCGAAATAGCCACCGCGAGAAAACTAACGAACAGGTATGACTTCATGCTGAGCAGAGAACCGAAAATTGTGCACTGAGCGAAAATGGGTGTGTAAAAACCTTTTATATTAGGAAAGCGGAAAAAGATATGCGTGGTCTGCGTGGAGCGTTTGTAGTTTGTTTTCCATCCGTTGGCCTGACTCATGCATAACGTCAATCGATGGCAAACAGAAGCTGCACGTACGTCAGTTGACTTCACATGCAGTTGTAGATTTGAAAACGCCTCAATGAGCCACTAGCAAAAGAAGAAAACGCAAAAAAATGGAAAGAAAACTCCACGCGATAATATATCTTAAACATTATTAGAAAACTTTGGTGCAATTTCTAATTGATAAAATTTGATAGTGCAAACGTAATAGTATTGTTTTCAACTTTAGAAATTTTTTCCTGTTTGTGCACGAGTGAATACTTTTACGTGAAATTTTAGGCCGGACCTTTCAGTAACATTACGAGTGATTAGTCTTTGAAAGTTAAGTAGCCGTTACTGAATTATCTGTATCCCTTGTACCAAGACAAAATGTTATGGCATTTTAATTATGTTCCCATTAAAACAAAGGAAACCTATTCAATCATATCGTTTCGTTTTCTTGCTTCAAAATGTTGTTGACAAGATCACGCTGGAAAGGCGAAGTGTCTAGTGTCAAATTTCCGGAAGAAGTCCAATCTAAATTTTCATGCTTAAAATTTAAGTTTCCCTCAGTTGGAAAAACGTACCTTCTTTCGTGAGCTCTCACAGAGTTGGTTTTTTCATTGGTACTAAGCCCTTTAATTCAAAATGTTTTTTTTTTTTTCTGTGGTTCATTGCTTTCACACATACGTTCTTGATTGTAAAATAAGATTGGCGTCTTTTCGCTTCAGTGCATTGCGGAAAAAGCATCGGTCAGGTGACTTTAAACAAGCAAATCTAGCCGTATAAGTGTAACGATGCACCGGAAAAGCCAATATGTAGTGGATCTTACATTAAGAGGCATAAATCTCTTGTCAAATTGAAAGTTTATTTAATTGCTTCCTTTGTTACTAAGGACTTTAGCGCTCTATTTTAGTCAACGGAATGGTGAAGAATTTTTAATAGCCCTTCACCTGACTGCAGAAGTTAAAACTTAGTGCAATTACCACTTGTAACAAGGTCTTTTTTTCATAAGTTGGTCTAGTCACTGAAGTGCTAAACCTTTTGAAACTGGTTCAAGGAGGATTTCAATGCAGTAACAATTAGGAAAACGAGGGAAAACAGAAAAAGTTAGACAAAGAGAGAAAGAGGACGATTAAGATAGGAAAAAAAAAATCTTATAAACTGTTTTCTTAGAGAAATAGAGATTTTTTTTCGAGTTTGGGTGGAGGGAACTGGTATTTAACGGCAAGGTTCGAGGAGATAAATGACTTTCTTAATTATTGAGCTAATACATCTATAGATAAATTGATTCAAGTGAGGGTTATGACACCAGAATGATACATTTAAACATTTATTTCGTTCCATAATTAAACAGTCTGCACAAGCCTTCTAAAGTTTTGGAGACTAAAGTAACGTACTACACATGAGAATTACACAAAATGACACAAGTTGCTGGAAATCAAATTCCATAGCGTATCAAGGGCAAGCCCTTCCACTAACTAAAAAAATTTCATCGTTTATTGCAGATAAAAGCCCCTCATCGTCGCTCACTAGGGCTTGATCTGTTCTGAATTTTCTACGGGCCTGTGTTTATTGAGGCAGTCGCACTGGCACTTATATTGCTTCCTATAGCAGAATTCTGGTCCACCGGGAATTCTGCGCACATCTTTATTACACTTTTCGAATTGTGCATTGCAGGCCCGACAGCAGTCAAACTGGTACAGCTCAAGCCAGTCACACTTGTACGGAGGCTTAGCGAACACAACAGTGGATGCCAAAACACAGTCCGCCGCAACGTCGTCGAACTCAAATTTTCGGAAGTTCTCGGCCTTCTGTTCAGAAGGAAATCGAAAAAATTGATTCAAGATTTGCCCAGTATAGCAATAAAGACGGGTGATTAGGTATGGCACTACCACCCTCACAAGAAGGTGTGGCGATAGAACTTGCGAAGTGCATCGCAAATGATACGTATTAATAACCAAGGCAGAAGACTCAGAGAGATAGAGATAGAGATCCTTACCGTCAAAAAATCCTCTACTTCGATTTTTTCACAGTTTTTCTCACAGGCAGCTAAGCATTGGGTAGACTCGTCATGCTGTGGCAGCAGAGCTCGGCGAGGTTCATCCAGGAGTTGTAGGCTCGTTGTCTCGGGTAAAAGGTGTCGGTGCTCGGGACGAAAGAAACGTTTCACATGTTCTTCAGTGTTGAATGCATATGCGCTAATGCAGAAAACGGCGAGCGAAAACGTTACCAGAAAAATGGAAACTTTCATAATTTGAGCGAGTGTAAACGAATTGAACAGATTTGACTTCCAATACAGCTTTCTACCACTGAAGCAGCTGCTTTGTTTAACGATTCTTTTATATCGCCAAACAGGAATTAAGACTGGTCTTTTGTTATGGTGCAGGTATATTGATGTGTAATGTTTGTCATTGAGTGGGTTTTGTGTGCTCTATTAGTCATGTGTAATATCGACCGTTGTTAGGTCAGATAAACAAATATTTACCAGTGAATCGACCTAAGGGGTAAAGGTTAGGTTAACAACTTAAAATCTTTTAAAACTGGCATAAAATTTTTTTGATTACTTTTACAATAGTAACTTTTGTTTTATCAAAAGATACAATTTCTCTCTGTTTTTTTTTCTTTTCATGATCGTGCGGTTTTCATACGTCAACGCTTTTTAAGCACGAAAATATGGCCATTAAATTCTTCAGTGATTTATGAAAAACACCATTATCTTTTAAAATTGTTTTGCACGTTCACCCGAAAGAGGAAAAAATTCCATCACAGTTTATGTTAATGGTAATTGTCCATCAAACAAAACCCACTAAGTCGTCAACAGTTTTATTTTCATGAATGAAAGTGATCTTCGCAGTGATGTGCACTACTTAGGCAGTAGTGAAAATAAGGCCTGAAAAAAATACAGGCCTGTACGGGATTTGAACCCATGACCTCTGCGATATCGGTGCAGAGGAAATACCTTTACATCGGGTACGCGTACTGTCTTCCTTTTTCTGAATGATTGATGAAATTGTTGAACGTTAATAAGATTTGCAATAAACTGTTTTGTTGCCAGGCCAACCCAGACGTAAATCATCAACCGAAGGATAATCGAGTGACTGACCCCAAACGACGTTGTATTGCAGCGGTACTCCGTTGTAATACTATTTGTAGGCATCAGCAGGGAAGCTATGAAAACAGCTACGTTGTTAGCCATGTCACTCGTGGGTACTTCATGGCCAGGAAAAACTGTTTTAAATTAGAGACTTAACAATTACAAATATTTCCATTTTCTTCACTTTTAATAAGTAGATTTTCAGTCAGTGCTAGATTTTTTTGAGTCAGTTGAAACGAATAACAAGTCTTGAAGCACCGCACCTTTGCAAGTTCTGCGCGTTCGTGCGCTTAATTAATTTGAGTCCAAAGTCATGACTCAAACGTGTTCACGCAAGCGTAGGTCGAGACATCAGTAAGTTAAGCCAAAATAAACAAGGTAACCTGACAAAAATGAGTAATAAAAAGAATGTCTCATGATTGTAAAGTACCTTTAAAATGTATCCATTCCGCTCGGTGCTCGAAAAGAGACTGTTTAATGTCTAAGTCAAACCGATTTCCCGAATGCTGAAGTCGTTCCATCAAAAGACAAAGTTAAGGTCGTTCTGAAAAGATTGTCAACGAATACCGATTTTTTTTTCTCAAATTCACCAAATTCGAGGGAGAAATTGGAAAACACAATCTCGGGAGCAAAAATCTGCTGTAAGCAACTCACAAAACTGAACAGTTTAACGAGGTATTTTAAATGGTGAATGGTGTCCAAGTTCTTTTAAGAATGAAGCCACAATTTCAATTTATACTGAATGTCCTGCTAATCGCCATCTTTGTTTCATAAACCTCTGAATTTTCTTTAATAGATAACTGATATTTTTATTTTAATGTCATGAACAAGTTTTTTAAAGACAAATATAGCCCTTTCGACGTATCTTCAAATGGATGAAAGAAAAAGAAACTTTAAGGCTTCGAGACTGAGAAGCCCAACTTTCTCTCTGATAATTTGATTTATCAAATGAGTTGATAACGAAAATTAACCAGCGCCAAGATTTTTAGAAAGAGCTTCAGAAACTTCTTTAAGGTGGCCAATTTATGCTATCAACTCAATGGTTAAAACAAAATTATCTTGACGTGTTCCTCATCGACGCAGCACTACTGTTTATTTAGAAACTAATCCCTTTTATTTCCCTTTTTCCTGTTAATTTAAATTAAACTCAGCCGAAACGTATTCGTAATTTTCAGTGACTTTATGAAGGTAGACATCTGGTTGTTTGACTTTAGTGAAGATGGAAATCTACAGTCGGTGCTGACTGTTATCCGTTTTCCACAAATATATTTTTATTAGTTTCGATTGAAACGTAGAACATCTTTGGTCACAAAATATTCACAGTCACAAATATTCTTATCAAAAAGCGTGGCGCAAAGAATGAACAGTTGTACCTAGCCCACGAACATCCTAATGAGATAATAAATGTATCCAGGTTGCTTGGTATGTGTGGCTATGAAAAAATTGCTGCTACTATCGCACATTTTTTTAAACCCACTTAACGCACAGAGCAGGCTACTTTTTTTTATAAGACGGTCAGACCAGTACCATAAATTAAATATTTATCGAAGCGTGTAATGAACCAAACGATTTTTCTCACAAGTTCTTTTATTTTGGTCAATACCCTACTTTAACACAAAAAGCATATTAATTAAAGTGAGTAAACACGAGTTCAGAAAACTTCAGTTACATCATGTGATGTATTCATACTGTATTCCGTTGAAATGCAGATTCACACTGTCGTCCAGTTATAATTAGGGAACTTTAGCAGTTAGGACAGCAACGCCAAGGAAGACATCGATATAAAAATGAATTCATATTTTCAGTTGGAATTTCGCAAATGACTGGATGTGCTTACCATCTCTTATGGTGCCGCAAGTGAACCTCAGCACAACGTATGAGAGCGGCGTTGAGCTCCAAATAGAAACTTAAATAATCTGCCGTCGGGGTTTCCTTTCTCGGACCACGCAAAGTTTGATGATTTCACGTTTTTATTTTGCAGTGCACTGCTGGGAGATGTAAATAGTTTTAGAACGCACGTCCTGAGCTACTGTTCTGCTCATTAGATCTTTTGTTTTGCCACTTTCTCGTTGCCGTCGCCATCGTGGTTTGCTAAAGGTCCCTATTTATAACTTGACAACTTACAAACTAATCTAAAAGTGTATCGCAGTTATAGAAAAAACTGTGCATGAGTGCAAAGGAAGATGAGTGCATCAGTTTTCTTAGTTGTCTGCTGATGCATATCCTGAAGGCAATTGTGGTGACAAAATCTTTAAGGTAGCTTTTCATAGAATACTTCGATGTTGGTAGGAGAGAACCGAAAGCTACCGGCAAAAAATGGGCAGTTGGCATGCGTGTATCCAGGGGGAGCGGTGTACGTGTGACCACAGTAGGTGTATGACTCATTGTTGTTGACGGCGTCGCTGGCTAATCTGATATCTTCTCCTCCAAACGAGGGTCCCAAAATGAGACAGTCCGCGATGACAGGATCGGAATTATTTTTCTTAGTGAGTTTCACCGGTGAATATCCATTGATATTGTGAAGCGAGTAGATAAAGGACTTATTGGCTGAAACATAACGGCACGGGTTCCCTGTTGGTAAATCATAAATATTGAATTTAAGTCGATAAAAACAGCATTAAAATTTGTCATGAGGATTAAGGGAAAAGGTTCACGAAAGCTTTTTAAAGCTCTACTCATGCGATTTGATTAACAATAAATCCGAAATGATACAAGTGAAATTCTACATCATCACACATCATATTAGCAGAATCTCAGTGTTTGATGTTCATTTTCGCTGTAGTTGGAAAAGATTGTTTAAAGAGTTGATTTAATGGTTAAAGAAAAAAGAGAATTATAAAAATTTGTCTGTAGATAGTAGGAAAATCAAATAATCAAATAAAATATTTGTAAATCTAAAACTGACCAGTGTTCGAAACGTTCTTGATTATTTATCTTGCAGGTATGAAGTTATCTTTATTTGCTCTGGCAGTCGTCGTGGAAACAACTGACCTACTGTTTATCCTTATGAGGAAATATTTAAATTTACTTTCAATACTTACCATTCCATGGTACGTTAGTATATCCACCAAATATGTGAGAGTTAACCTGGATGATTGTCACTGTGGGTCCCTTTCCATCGCAGTTGTTGTGAAATGTCGCTGCCGCCCATCCGTCTGTCTTGGCATGCCAGCATCTCACGAATACACTGTGGTCTAAATCCATGAGAACTGGACTCAAATAAGACCTCAATATTCCCAGGTACTTGTTGTAGTCAAGTTTACTGAGAATGGCGGATGCATTCAGAGCTATTCGACAGTGAAAAATAATTAGGATCTTCAGTTTATCACTTACGTCAATGAAAATCGATGGCTATAAGATAGTCGTAATGCTGGATGACAACTTTCCTTTTACCTTAAGGTAATTCCTCAATTTTGTACCGCGCATCCTGTATTGAGCAGAAAAATCAAGTAATCAGGAGAATGAGCGCGCGCGCATTCCGAGAACACGGTATCGTTTTTCAATCCATGGACCGGGTAAAGAAGTACGATGGTCTTTAGCTCTTGAACGAGCACAGTCACCTATATTTTGCATTGCATGATTTTGGAGAACAAATTATCCCCTTTAAATTGAAGAAATTTTAAAAAATCGTAGAAGGGGAAAAAAGGATGTAGCTAAAAGCTTGCATGAAGTCCGTTCCTCGAGGATGCAAATTATGACCTCGAGAGCAACGACTCGAGGAACGTTTTAAGTCAATGTCGTTTAAAATTGCGTGATTTTTCCACAAAGTATACATCAAATTATTTCATATTCGCGATAATTTCTTCCTATCATGTTTGTTTCAAGTGTTAATTTAAAATCCCTTGCTTCCAGCCACCGCAAAATACACTGTGAAGGGATGAAAAAACGCGCGTAATTGGTGCCAGTACAGGCATAAAGGGGGTAAGTTTGGCCCACCATATCACTTAAACTAGCAGGGTGAATAATCTCTTTTATTGTATTTTTCAAAACAGATCTAGACAATGGTAAAGAGAATTTAAGGAAAGTTTAAAAAAATTGTTCGATAACTTTTTGTTTCTGAGGAATCACTTCAACTTAGAGAAGGCTAGCTAAGTGGGTATGACTTAAAACTATGCAGTGAAAAAGTGCGAAAAGGAACAATTCACCAAATTTGTGGAGATGTAATAACAACATCCACTTTAAGATGTGAAAACAAAACAGCCCACACATGAACGCGTTTGTTTGGTTGCTTTATCTCTGTCCTTTGACTAAGTGTAGAGAATTTCTCTGGTGTACTTTTTTCTCTCGCAGATTTGATGCGCCTACCAAGGAATTAAGTAAATTAGGCAGCTCATTTTAGAACCTCGATCCGCAACTGATTCAATATAAGTCGTTCCGTTTTTCTCTATCTTCCTGTCTTCCTTTCTCGTAAGTGATGCATCTCTTATCATCAAGGATATTGGCAAATTCTCCGAACTATTTTGTATCTCACAAGAAGAAATTAAGTGAGTTGAGCGAACGAATTTACCTCTCTATCGCCATGCATAACTTTATAATTCAAAGCTTACCAAAAGTTTTACAGATTTCTCCGTTTCCATAATAGTGTGGCTTACAAGTGCACCTGTAGGATCCCACTGTGTTGTTACAATAAGCATTGACATCGCAAGTGTGCGAGCCCTGAGAGCATTCATCAATGTCTAGAAATGAATGACAAAAATACACTTTTGACAACTTAATGAGCACTAAGAGAAACCTATAAATTAGAGAAAAGATTAAATATATCCTTGATAAGTTTCAGCTAACGAAACACTTGAAAAGCCCAGGGTTTAAGGAAAAAATTTGTACAAAATATACGTAAGATGCGCCCAATTTATTAATAATGCAGCAAAAAATATAAAACGAAAAAAAAAAAAAACAAACAAACGAACCAAAACAATGAAATAGTATCTTTCAAGCGTTCCAATTTTATCGGCACTTGTTTGCAGATAGAGGTTTGAAAATTCGTCTTCAGATAATTATAATTTACGAATTGATTCCTTTTCAAGGTAATGAAACGGTAGTATTAATTAAACTGTTGGCAGGAAACCTTACAGGTGAAGACTTCTTTAAGCCAGTTTAATTAACGGTTTAATTTCGTACCGATTTCACAGTGTTTCCCTTTGTATCCTTTCGCACAAAGACACACGTAGTTGTTTTCCTCATACTGCGGGGCACAAGTTCCTTTGTTTTGACAAGGCCAACTGATGCAAGGAGACTAAATAGACAAACGAAACACGGCACACCTTCCGATCAAAACTTAGGGACAAGGAGGATTGAAGTTTAAACTCCTTTTTTTTCTGGCTTCTTTTCTTTTGTGTGGCTCAAATTAAATCTATTATTTTTGGAATGAAATAACTAATATACCAGTAACCCCGATTTTTGAGTCATACAGAAATGCAACCTGACAGTCACGTGAGAACTACAACTTAATTTCGCTAGGAGAAAATTAATTCAAAACCTGATTTAAGATGTTTCAAGGCTGATAGCTTAGAGGCTTATTCAGTAGTTCATCACAATCCGTTCCTCTACTCGAATTAACTGTACCTCTTCGCAAGCTTATGTTCAGAAAGATTCAATAAATCCTCTATGGGTAAATTGATGGGTGCTCAAGTCATTTCGTGAAGCATTTTTACAGCCGGAATAGGAACAGTGCTTCTATTAAATGATATGTCTCCAAGAACTCTGTGGAAATAGAACTCAGATACTCCCTTTTCGTGTTTCCTGTCCCTTTTTTCCTTATTTAAATGTTGTCGAAATTGTAAACTACGTTGAGGTTTTTAACTTACTGTGACACTGAAGTGATGGTGACTGTGACTGGCGGCAAACTTGTCCGAGTTGTTGTACATGTCTGATGGAAGTAATTCACACAGCAGTTTACCAATGATGTCATGAAACGCAGCCAGGTTGAAGGAGAAGCATGAAGGTATACTGACACAAGCAAGTCCACACTCAGTGTCATCGGGAACATAACTTGAACCAATGCCAGTGATATTTAGGTAGGAAAATTTGTGAACTTTAAACTTGGCATAAGCCAGGCCTTTATTGCGGCTGAGAATTTTTCCACGCACATCGAAGACTTTTGTTTATGGAATTTGGGGGAAGAAAGAAAAGAAATCAATATTTAGATAACTAAGTACAAGTCAAAAAACATCGTAACTCGTAAGAACTTGCCAAAGAATTCTCGCATATTTTAAATACCGTTTGAGGCATCTGTTACAGAGATTACTATCACAAGTACATAAAAATAGTTCCTGTATGGCTTTTGAAGCAAACGCCCCATACTAGGCGTCAGATAAAGGCGGAGTTCACCATGCGAATTCAAAATGATGTCTGCAATCCAATGAGCAGAGCATCGATTTCCTGTAGGACTTCGCAGACTACTAAATATTTAAAAAATTAATTCAAGAAGCGTTGAAAGAGAGTTCGTATTTATAAACAGGTGAAACAGAAGCTCCAATTTGATCAGTTTGTTAATATCTTTTCCGTGCTTTCAAGAGGCCTAAATAATTCAAGTGTTTGGTTTGTTCAAATTTGTATTTCGAGTCATTCGAAGTTTCCAGACATCCGCTCATCGCACTCTCTCCCAACCCTTATTAATGGTGTCCAAGGGCAAAGCTTGAAAGCTCAAAGCTAAAAGGAAAAAAAGGGTACGTGCACTCAGCTTCGAACAAGCTGTAATCCTCACTGAATTGGTCACGTGCATCGAATGTGGTTTACAACGAAACTTTCCGCCAAAAAGAAAAAAAAATAAGAATGAATAAAGAAGGTTTTTTTTCCCATCTTTCCTCATTATTTTTAAAACATTATTTTCACTTCACCCATGATTACTTTTCCTGCGGCTAAAATGTTTGTTCAATATACTTCCCTGGCATTATAGAACCGGCGAGTTGCTGTCATTAATTATTAAAAGGCTACATCGGCATATATTGTAGAGTTTATCTGCAATTCAGGCAAATGATGCTTTGAAATATTTGTGATGTGTTTCCGTAATTTATTTTTGAAAATGTAGTGGGTATTGCTAGAAAATTTATTGCGCAAGAGGTGCACAAATTTAGTATTTGCTTCTCAGACAGAAGTGTTTATGATGACATTAAAAAAATAACACTGAAAATAATTAAAAATGATGTCGATATTCTGCTGGAAGCAATTGAAGTGTTTTCACGTCGGTCGATGTTTGGGCCAAGAAAAACACAGTATTTCACAGCATTTTCAAGAAAGACACTGGAGCATTTTCATTGACTGTTTCGATAGAAAAAGGAAAAGAAAAATGAAAGACGAATATTCGTAAGCTATAACGCGTCAGAGTCCTCCCAAAATTCATATGCGTTCGTATATGATTTCCTGTTTTTTTTTCTCATCATCCCTCTCGAACACAGCTTGGTTAAATTTCTGACCGTTCATTCCTTCTCCTCTCTTCAACACGATAAGAATGTCTCTTTGACAACACGATGAAAATAGTTTTCGTCTTTGGAAAAGCTAGCACAATTCTTCGAACTATCACTGATAACAATCAATTGAAAGCGTTTTTTTTTTCGAAACTTTATTTTATTCCTTGGTTATTCTTAGTAGCTTTATTCTTGCCTCAGTCTTCAATGAATAG